AGTTCTCTGATTTACCCTGGGATTCAGTAATTCAGTCTCATCTGAAGTCACTAAATTTGAGATTAGCAGTTAGTGACTATTTTTGTGCCTTGAGATGATTTGGCTATTCAGTAGGAGAGAGTCACAAAAAGTTCACCAAAAATGTGTGGTGAAAACAAACACAGATAGTCCACTGAGTCGCAATGGCCGAGTGGCCAAAGCATTAGGCTGCCGGTCGAGAGGGTCCGGGTTCGAGTACTCCTCAGGCGTAGAGGATTTTTTGTTTTTTTTTTATTTAGTATTTTTTATTAGTTTTATTTTTTTTAATAATCTTTATTTTTTAATGTGAATTTTTTTTTTCAATGGATTTGTATGATATTATGTGAAACCGCGTACTGAATACTAAATAGTCTCAAAATCCAAGTTCACCACCAAAAGTCACTATTAGTGACTAGAGACCGCTTACTGAATGCCAGGGTTAATTCTGGTAAAAAGCTTAATTTTGTTTTGTTCGATACTCAGTAGTATCGATACTTTTCAACCCATTCTTATAGGAAGTCGATGTTATGAAGTGGTTACTTGTTACCGATGGTAGTACTTCATGAACCAAAAATCTTTCGTTCATGGTAGTACTTGGTATCTGGAATTTCGATACCTAAGATTAGGGTTCGCACTCACGATACCGATTTGCATAGCAAAAGCCCGAAAAAATTGTACTACAAACTGAAAACTAAAAGATACAAATATAGTACCTTTATACGCACGCATTATTTGCAATTAACAATTTGCAAAATAGTAAACTTTGCCTTTAAGTTAATTTTTTATTTGCAAATAACTAAATCATGGAAATAAGTATTAATTAGTGGTACTATTTGCAAATAAGCGCCAGACGCTGCCATTCTTAGGTTAATTTTCTTTTTCTTTTTTTTATAATCAATACGTTGCCATTTTTTACTTTATTTTCTTTTTCGATGGTGATATTATTGCCTTTTTATAATCAGGCAATATCAAAAAAGAATTTTTCACCACCGAATAAACAGTGAATTAGGTATTTCCAATTATTTTTATTTACGTAGTAATAGGTTATTATTTTAAATATATAAGCAAATTCAATCCTTTAAAACAAAAACATAACAACTAAGTTTCAAAAACCCTTGCCCTTTTTAAATCATATTTGTATCTTTACAATGGTCCAAATTCCATACTAAGGGCCAATTTCATGATAAAATTAAAGAATACTTAAAAATGTAAAGGAAGGTTTATTTTGCTGTTCGATACATATGTTAGAATATAAATAGCCCATGGAGACCGCTCATTGCCCTTCAAGAGAAATATATATCTGAGCTTATATCTTGCCATCTATTGCCGGCAATTTGGCAGTTTTACAGCTACATTTTCATTTGCACGAAAACTCGTGGCGGCAACATCATTAATATTTTAATATGGAAGCAAAAATTGAGCTGTTTCCTGTTAAGATATTTATAATTATGAACTTGAATGTAAAATAGTTCATTTTCAAATTTTTTAAGCGATTAAATCCGGCAAAAATACGTTTTCGAAGCTATCTCACAAATGCTTATATCAAGTTATAAAAAGCCCACACACAAAACAGCTGATATGCACCTTGACACTTTATCCATTTCTACCCGGAGAAAAAGTCCGGACTGTTTCGGACAGGAAGAAAAAGACACTTACGATCCAATACATTCCAATTTCGGCTCTCTATTACCCATTTTGTTGAGTATGGGAATGATTTCTGGGATGTTTTGGGCACGCGCGGTTTCCGCGTTGCGTACGGGAAAGAACCTTTTGAGAGGACGCGCAATGCGCAACCAGTGTTGCCAGCTCCAAGGACCGAAAATCCCATTCTCCTCTGAAAAACACCCTGTTTATCCCATCTTAAAATTCGAAAATGCTATTTATGAATATCCAATATTAACAAAGATTCAACGAAATTAATACAAAACCAGGTATAACAGTTGTTTTTTAGTTAGTATATATACCCTTCAAACCAAAGTTTCTGAAATCTTAACGAAATCTTTAGGAGCACCTCATTTCTGTAACGATTTTTTTACGGATCTTAAAAAAAAAAAATACATGAAGTGGTTGACACGAACTCGTACAGAAATTTCCATGATAAAAATATTACAAGGTAAATTCATTCTCTCATTTCGACGGCCATGATCCCATTTTCTGACGTTTACCAGATTTTACCAGCAAAAAATTCTCGGACTAAAACTGGTAACTTCTAACAGAGATAACCGTATTTACTCTTTTTTGTCCTCTCAATAGTCAGAGAACCGAGTACGGGATCGATTTCCAGTAAAATCTGATCTGAATCTAGTCCGGACTCGTACTGGTTCGAAACTATTGCTAAGTTCCAAGTTGCAATAAAGATAAGCATCTTTTATTCTTAAACTGATACAACTGATGGAAATGTTCAATATGCGCAACCACGTTCAAATGCCCAATTTTAACTTTGTGGGGGGAATGGCGCTTTTCCATCAATTATAGTTTAGAAATAAAAGATGCTGAAGTTTCATACAGATGCAACTTGAAACCCAGATTTATGAAATGCGGCTGATAAATTCATGCATTGGATAATTTCGTGGTTTATTTTCCTTTCATTTCGAAATTTCAGTATGATCACTAGTATAGTAAAATGCTTAACACAAATAACATATTTCATTTATTTATTATTCCATTGCTTGACCCTCGATCCAAGCAACGAGTGACTACTAAATATAGGGTCTCCGGCGACCGAGAATGAACCAATGACTTAAATAGTTTAATGGTATTTGTAGTTTCTGTGGTGGCGCATCTTGCCGTAGTTGATAGCGTAGAAGAAAGTCATGGCAGCCAAAGTAATTTGGAAAAATGGTGCAACACCAGCACGCTTTGGCTGCACATACTTGTGCTGCCAGCGCCACCAGGCACGGCTGAAAGCACCTGCGATAGCTTGGGGTGACTTGCTGCGACGGCTCAACCATGCGCCAATTTCACCAACCTTAACCTGGCCGAATGGTACATCAGCTGTAAATAAATATTCTTTATTAATAGATAGCACGCATCCATGGCACGTATCATGATAAATTATTGAAACATGAGCACGTATGAATATTAAATTCATATGGCCAACGTCATTACATAATTTGGGATGGTTGTCGGCATTGCCTATATTTTTTTTACAAACCTTTGCCATAGTAACGTGCTGGATCGTATGGTCCATGAACCTTTGGGTTATATTCCGCTGGATAATCGCCAAATGCCATTTTGATTCCTAAAAAATTATGGAAAATAAATTAAAAATCCCAAAGTGGCTGGGCGAAAACTTACTTCTCTTCTACCGATTGCAAATACGACAGTTTTTGACAACTAGAGATGCATGTAGAGCGAAAAAGGTAATGAATAACCGTTACTTATACGGAATATGCACTGATCCACCATTACATGTATTTTTTCAAATAAAATCCTGTTCGGCCCTGGTTCTAAAGCAGATTCAAAGCTTTATTAAAATTAACGGGTTTTTGTGATCTTTCTTAAAAGTGTATTGTTTTCGGCTTGTTTCCGATATTAATTTTGTAATTTGTAGGAACTTCGGTACTCAGTTCAGCCGGATACTTTACATCAACTCGAAACAACTACAATCATTCCAGCACAAGCTGAAACGTCAATCATTAAATGTGATTGAAACAGGGGCACTCATGTAAATTAATTATGGAAAAAGCTATAAAGTAAAAACTGTTTTCATTGTTCAATTTTAATGCCTGGATTATAATGGAAGTAACGGAACGGAGTGAACTGTCACTTAATTATCTATTGTATGGGCAATGAATTCGAACGATTATAATGCGCTTGAACCAAGGCGAATTTATATAAGGTGGTGTTACTAGCTCAGCTGATTTTGTGTATGTGTTTCGCCGCACGGCTTCTGATATCAAAATGAAAAATTTTGTTTGAATTTCTACACACACTCTTACAGATTTTGACAGTTTATGCCGCCAAAGCAAAAACAAAATACATGTAAATTTTTGTTTTTGTACTCCTGCTATCACCTTGTATTAATTCGCCTTGACTTGAACGTAACGTAAAACGGAATTCGCCGCGATTTGTTACGATTCGCTCCGTGCGTTATAACCAAGGTATAAGTTATGGCCTTTCAACAAATCGCTTTCAATGAAATTAGTCGGCAGCCAACTTTCGCCAGTGAAAGTTGTAGAATGCAAAAACCAAGGCGTATTTAACAAGGTGGTGTTGGCCGTATATAAGTAAAAAAAATTACACTAACAAATTATACGCTGATGTCCATACTGTCATTGGTATGAGTTACAACAAACACATCATTTTGACGTAATGGCCTCCACGGCGAAAAACTCAGCTGTCGCCCCAACACCACCTTGTTTAATACACCTTGGCAAAAACGCTTTTGATAATAGATGCCTATTTACAGTCTAACCTATCATCTATCATATCTCTATACTGCTATAGGTTATAGTGATCCGATCTTTGTAATTTTCACTATTATTAGAATTTTTAGATATGTATGCAAAATTGATGATGTGTACATAATTTTTTTTTAGATTGAAACTACACCTTTTCATCCCAGTAATGAGAAAACATAAGTTATAATGAGAAAACAAAAATTTATATTGAGAAAACGTAAATTGTATTAAGAAAAGAGAAATTTGTATTGAGAAAACATAAATTATATTGAGAATACGTAAATTAATAATGAGAAAACGTAAATTGTAACGAGAAAAAGTAAATTTATAATGAGAAAATGTAAATTTATAATGAGAAAACGTAAATTTATAATGAGAAATCGTTAATTTATAATGATATCGGGTTTACTGCTTTAAGGTTTTGAAGGCGTTCGGAAAAAATTTTATTCGTAGTTTTTTCATTGTACCCAACGAAATATAACTTCATATAGGCACTTGCATTCAAAAATGCAGTTTCAAGACGATTGTGCGATTTAAATGCTGTAAACCGGACTGCTATTGGAACAGACTAAATATGTACGAGGCAAGAAACAGTGTTCCCGGGATTTTCAAATGTAAAAGCTAGATAAGTCAATTACAAATGCTAAAACAAGCTAAGTGGCCCAAAAAAAGGTTGAAAAAAGGCCAGCCTTTTAAACATTTTACTAACTCTTTTTTAGGGTCTGAAAACCCATAGTCATTATGACAAAGTAGTGTTACATTTGTACCGCCAAATATCTTCATACATAACAATACGATTACAATCGTGAATGTTTCAATTGGAGCGCGCATAGTGAAGAGCAAACCATATACGGAAATGAAGCAGACTAAACGGCGAAGTCGATTTCTATTTGACAAAATTTTTAACTCGACACTAGTGCTTCAACGTATACCTTTACCGATTCAAACACGAATCGGAACCCATATGCGAATACTGTGGAGGAGATATAATAGAATACGTCTTTTTTGAGTGTATGCGATTTGACAGTACCAGATGCAAAGAGATTTTCACGCTTGAATCAGTCGTGGACGCTATGCTACAAAACAGCGAAAAATAGTGGGCAGCATGTGACACAATAACAGAGTCGATGAAGGGTCTAAGGACCCCCGAATGGCTGCGGCATAACAGCGGAAACTAACTATCTTTCTTCCTCACGATGTAGTGCTTGACGTCATTCCCGTGGGGTGCGGAATTCTAAGAAATAACATGCGTTTCCTGGTTTTATAGGGACACTTGAGAGCCCCTGAAAAAACTATTAAAATATAGACAGAACGAGTCCGCTGAGTAAATTTCGGCGGACTAAGCGATGCCGCCGGGTGATATTCGCCTAACATTTCGTCAAGTAAAACTGCACCGGAACAATAATTTAGTGCTATTACAAATATTGTGGAGGATTGTCTTAAAAAAAATGCTAGTTTGAAAAAAAGAAAAAACTAGAAAAAAGCCACGAAGCTAAATCCTAAATTTCGAAACTAAACGACAAAGAAGAAAGCTAGATATAGCCTCAAAAAGTGTAAACTGGCAACACTTGCAAGCAATATCAAGAATGCCGAAAATTGCTGAAAGCAAGAACAAAAGTGCTGCCAAGCAATCATGTTAATCATGGTCAAGGCGAATTTCCTTGATCATGGTGTTCACTAGAGTCTGGTACAACATCCGCTTCCGAGGAAATTCTTGATTTTTATTTGGTCGTTGTGTTAGATATCGAAATTTTACAAGTGATAATAAATAAAACTAGTTTTGCAAGAAGAAACATACTACATGGAAGAAAATCATTCGATTCTTAAACTTTGAATTGTGATATTGTTATGAGTAGCAAACAGCAGACTGCATTTCGTATTGCGAATTGAAGACTTTGATTGTCAACCATTTTGAATTTTAATAGTTCGCCCTTCTACGTTCATTGCGCACTTGATTCGCTAGGCAGCATGCGAAAATGAATGCAACCAACTAAAGAAATTAAAAGAAAACGTGTAATTTCCAGAAGTTAAACAATTTATAAATTTAAAAAAAGTTTCTGCTAAAGACCTACCTCAACAGCAGCAACACCAAGTCCAGCATAACGCACTATATTTAAGCTTTTATCCCAGAAGGAAGTGAATGCTTGCGCACAGCCCGGTTTTTTCATTGCTTCCACCATGTTACAAGAAATGGCATTTGCACCGCAGCATGAATTTGGAATCGACTCCAGATTGAAGGTATAATCGGTTGAACCATTTTGGCCACAGCAATCGAACTAAACAGGACGGATGAACAAATTGAAGTATAATTCTCATAGTGGATAGAGTGTAAAAAACTTACCGTCAATTGCAAGGCGTCCATTACTTTCGGATCTGTTGTGTGTTGTTTCCATATCGTAGCCACAATTTGATTCATATAATTGAGGAACTTGGTATGCTGCGTCCACACAAGCACAATTAAAGCGACCTGAGCCAGCAAGAGTACTAGCATAAAGACTGAGTACTGAAAAGAGATTTTTATAAATCCATAGCGATGTGAGTACAAATTTATATATCTTTCATAGTTTAAATTATGGTTATTCGTTAGTTCAAATTTACCGTCAATGTGCAACATGTTTCCTCGCGTATTGCTCCACAACATCCCAAGAATGAGATAATAAAAATCACACATCCCAGCACAAGTATGGCAATTGGAATGCTATTGGCCTCAAATGTTTGCGCCAAGCTTCCCACTTGCTGTATATGCGACACTACTATGGAACCGAAGACAATAAGCAAGATGCCACATACCTGTTGAAAATAGAAGAACGAGAGTGAAAATTTATCAATGAAAAGTATAAATGCTTTTTTTATTACGTATCAATGAGCGAAAATATACTCGTAATAACGAAATAAATTTGAGAGATTGCAGCACTGTGCGAAATAGCCTCATGAACTAGTAAAATTTTATTCACTTCATAGTGCCGTTTTCACGTTCACAGTTCGGCAGTTAACTTTAAATTTTTGTACTGAAAACCTATAGTTAACTGCCGAATGAGAGTTAACTCGTAAAAACGGCCCATACTTGTCAAAGCACAAGCGTCTTGTCAAACCTACTTATTTCATTTCGCCACATAAATACCACAAAAGCAATTCCCCCGTAGCCAATGTCATGCATTAGTCACTTAAGAGTCTTGTACGGAAAAGTTCCGTCTTAAATGACTTTGGGCCTCGTTTGTATGGAAGTCGTTCATGACTTTTTCAAACAAATGGTAATTTCGTCGTTGATGTCATCTGCATGACTTTGCCATGCAGTGATCATTGATGACATTCAAGCGACAATGTCCTGCAATGAACTTTTTATAAGTGACCGCTGCAAGATATTGTCTGTTATGAGTCTTTGATAGGAGTACACCTGCATGACATTGTCACCAATGTCATTGTCAGCTATATGTCGTTTAGGATTCACAGCAATTGCGACGATGTCACTAAATCCTCATTAGTGACGATGTCACCGGTGACCGTTTTCGCTACTGGGTCTAGTTCAAGCAGAGAATATTTTTAATGAAAATTTTGTTGCGAATAGGGATAGCAAAAAAAAATAAATAATCGATTAATTAATTATATGTTTAATCACAAGCAAAAAAAATGTATTGCAATTATTGAGATATAATAGGTTGATCGAATTTTTAAAGGTATTTTTTTACAGTGAGTATTCACAAAAACACTTCCATAAAAAATTTGTAATTCAACATTGAGGGGAATAACGCATAGTAAAAAAGATTACTTTTTATTTGATTATCGTTTAAAAATGTTCGCATTTTAAATTAATACTGTCAAACCAAAAATTTAGCACGGACGTACATATGTGTGTATTTGAGTGTACAATTGTGCTAACAGATACACAGATACTTATGTACATACCCTACAGAAAAAATTTACCAAATGATAAAACTAACCAATAGCTTTTTGCGCGATTTCTATAAAAAGCTAACTTCAAACTAGTTGAAAAGTAGTGCAGAAGTAATGCAGACGTAATCGGGAGATTGTTTGCATTAAACAAGTTTCTATTTAAATATCCTCATACAAATTTTACATTGAATACATTTGTTTTCTGCACTTCACAAATACATTTTCGAATTCAGAACAAATAAAAGGAAGATCGAAATTTTATATTATCAATTTCAAGTTATGTGTGACGTAGTTCGACCACCTACAGCAGAATATGTAAACATATATCGCACGTTTAATAATATAACGAAGTATTTCAAAGTTTAAATTTTGTGGGAAAACGCTATTAAAGTTTAATCAATTCATACAGTTGATATACAAAAAGACACATGGAAAGAAACATATCTTCGCCATATTTGGGCACATTGGTTATCTGGTATACTGATCATATTCTACTTATCAAGCTTATTAATTGCATACCGAGCTCTCCATAAACGTAAATTTTGAGTTACATCTCTATATTATTAAACGTGCGATATGAAATGCAATAAAATAAAAAAGTAAAAAAAAAAATGTTTTCTGTCTTCTTATTGATATTTTATGTCCAAAAGTAATTATTTACAAGTCAGTTGACATCTAATGTAGAGATAAACACCTTGACTACATCTAATTCAGAGGTAACCACCGTTGACTATTTCGCGGCCATCGGCATAGAAATATAGTTAGCTTTCCTCAAAGAAAATATACACACTATTATCTGTTTCTTCCTAATCAACTTAAAGTTAACTTATAGTTAGATACATTTCCTGCAGGGTAGTACATGTCACAGTAATAAACCATTTTGAGTACTCCTCGTGGGGTAAAATCTGATCAGGGTTGATATTGAGAAGGAGCATGCATTTTTTTGGTTCCGAGTTGTATACAAAATTATGTACTGTGGTATGAAAGGGTGCAAAAACCGTACTATGGCAGAGTGGCACAAGTCATGAGTCATGACTGTTTAATAGTGACCGAAATTAATTACAAAAGTGTAAAAAAATGCAAATTATTGTCTATTATTATAGATACTAATACAGATTACCATCGCTCAGTGTATAACTTGTTTTATTACACTGTAAATGATAATGAACTGTTAAACGCTAAACCGCTAGTAACTTTACGTAAAATGCTGCTCCGGTTCACATTCTTTGATGATTCTTCGAGTGGTGAACTTCTATTTTTCTTAGAAATTGCGAGAAGAGCAGGTGATTTGGTAAACAAGCACTTTTCTTATAGTTTTAATAAATAATTGCTATTTATTTTGTAATATTCAGATATCCAGCTTGTAGTCAGAGGAGTTGCATGTGGGGCTCACTAAAATCTACTCATTATGTTGGAACAGCTCCGGGTAATGGACCATTGAATGTGCTGGCTGAACTTATGACCACCATAACCAACGGAGTCTCCCAGCAAATGCATGTCCTGAATTTATACAGTAGCAGTTCATAGCAATTACTATTTATCCATATTTGTTACATTCTTTACTTTCCGGGTAATGGTCGCTCAAACTTGGGTGTGCTGGGCGGATGCGCTGGCAGGCATTGGAGTCCCTATAACTATAAAAACCTTGTTTTTTTTTTTGAAAAAAAAAATTAAATATATTCGGAAATTTAAAATTTTTCTTTGCATTTTAAAATTATCCAATTCAATTATTCAATGCAGACTATCGAAAACATCGAATGGGATGACTATCGATAGTTTTACAACTCTAATATGCAAGCCAAGATAGCTTTTCATAAGCCAATATAATTATGTTGGATAAGTCTTCCATACAGAATAAGCTAATAGCTAAAATTTCTGGACAAATAAAACACGGCTATTGGTTGTGATAGGGAAGGTGCTGCCACGTTTGTACGAAAAATTGTTTTTGGGCCAAAGTACAGGTAACCTAATAAAAAACAAGTAAAAAAGTCTAAGTTCGGGCGGAGCCGAACATTAAATACCCTGCGCAAGTATTAAATATATGTTTTTTCACCTTTCCGAACGCTACCGCTACATGGTAAACCGAGGTGTATCCATTTTGAGTAAATTAGCGTTCTTAAATTTCGAAATATTGAAGTTTCAAGCATATCTGAAATTTACTG